ATGTGGTCACACCTTTTAAGCATATTTTCTTTTTTTTTTCTCAATATAACAGAAAAAAACCCATTTTGCAGAAATGTAATTCTTTTCCCATTTCCTTGGATTCCTTGTTTATATTGTTACTTTCTCATTATTATTACATTTTTAAGGAGATACACTGTCCCCTAATTTTCAAGGAGACAAGGTATTCCCTTTAAAGAGGTAATTATTCACGAGGCGGACTCTGGTTTAACTGAAAGCTCTGTAACTAATTCATTAATAAATGTCTGCTGTTGTATAATTCATTTCAAAATTCAATGACTTTATTGATACTAAAGGGAAATTAACTCAGTTTTAATTCTCAACAAGTTGTAGATGTTGATCGCTGTAGGCAGAAAGGATCCTCTGTAGCACCATCTTCCACTGGATTTGGAGAGGCCTTTGACTGAAGACTGTTGGTGTTTAAGGGTGTTCTGAAGAGGATGCTCACGGTTGTCCATAATATTCTCCATTTAATGAAGAATTCTTTATGAAATCATCTACAGAGGATCTAGAGGAGTTCCTAGAACAGTCAGCCGAGCTTGTTGAGCTTCTTTCATTCTGCTTTTGGTCTGAGGCCCAGCAGAGCAGACTCATAGGAGATACAGTATGTACCATCTTGGTAAAAATACCTACATTTCCTTATAAAGTACAGTCTGCTGTGTCCCTTCTACAGGTGGCTTCATAGTTGCATCTCCAGTTTACTTTGCTGTCCAGGTGAAGTTAGGATTCAACTTGTTCCCATTTCGTCTGAATTTTACAATCATCTTTTGTTTATATTCAGGATGAGATGATTGTTTCTACATAACTCACCAGCTTTCTATACTCAGCTTCTTCTCCCTCTCTTTCAAACCTTCTGTTCAACATACAGGAAACATGCTTTACTTGACAGCACTCATAGTCAAACGGCCGATGTTTCCATTTGATTATTTCTATAATCAATAAAATTACTAAATTACCAAGAAAAAAAAATAATGCAATGTTTTAGGTGCATACATACGGATTATTTTTTTGTACAATGACTGAACAGGGCTGCTTCATACACGATCATTTATCATTACATCGGGAAAACTTACCAATACAGAAGTATGAAACAAGATGCCACAGCCGTTAAAAAAATAATTTATCCTCAAGCTGTAATAGGCAGCCCAGACTTAAAACAAATTAAACAACAGAAAGTTTAAATGGAGAAACAGTACAATGGTGATAGATTTAATGCAATGAGAAAAATAACAAAACAACAAAAATATATCTGTTGGAAGATAATCTATGGCACAGAAATCAAATTTGGCAAACTCAAGTCCCGCTTTTCCTCCATGTTCAGACGTCCTGTAGTTTGGTGGATCAATAAGGCAAATAGGGTCTACCTCCAACATTTTCAAAGAAAAGTCAGGAAACAGGAGGGGAGGAACCAAAGTATTTATGGTGATATTGTTGGGTTTTAGTTACTCGATCCTTTAAAGACTGGTGAGTGCTGGAAATACTCGGTGGTATTAAAAAAGGAAGCAGTCTTTGTTGGCTCGAGTGAAAAATCTGAATTACAGCCACTTTCAATTCAGGGTAACGTGGGAGAGGATTAGAAAACCTGCTGAAGTTCAACCGGGTAGAAAAAGTCCGGGTTATACCATCGTGTTGCTCTCGCTTGCTCTGTCCACATACTGAAAATAAAGAGAAAAAAAGGAACATTAGTGAGTGTAGAAGACAAAGTGGGGAAAAAACAGGCAGCATATCTGATTAAACAACTGAGAAACTCCTCCTAATGACATGATGAAGGAAACC